GCATTACCTCAATAACTTTCTCCTACGAACCAAATCCATTCAATAAAAATAACAAACCACTTTGAAAGAGTCATTTCCAAGATACTCAGGAAATTGAGCGTCTCGTTTCAGCTCTGTTTAACAAAACTGTTAAACAAAAAAGAACTACCAAAAAAAGGCCATCATCTTTTAACAAATCCGTATGTCTCACTGGAGAGTTTGTATATGACCAGATTATTTTGGTCAAATGTGTAAAGTCTCACTCGGCAGGTGTGCTGTGGCAAACCACCTTTGTGATTTAGTCACAGCAGGATGGGAGTTAAAGCAAATGAAAACATGGTAAATAATCGGTCCTTTTAACAAACAGTAAAGCAACAACGAGTAATTGAATGACTCAGAAAGACATGAATCTTCTTGTACAAATATATTCAAGCCCACGAGCTGACTCATTCGCTTCATTTTGGGCTTCTGGGAAAAGAAGCTGCTTCCTTTCGTTTCATTCTTGAGCGTCAGTCAGGTAATGTGACTTACATATTTGCAACAGAGTCTCTCGTCCCCGCAAGGCTGCTAATTACAAGGGGCTCAGACAAAACTAGGGCACAGTTTTAACATCACCCAGTTCGCATTAGCAGGCGAAAAGCTGTCTGGGCTACAGCCTAACACCAGCAGTGAAATTCTGTTAAACAGCTTTTCACCAGTTAATCACCATCATAATCATTGTTTTTGTTCCCTGCTTCCTCCTCTCGTGTCGTTTTACCTCCATGGGGTTTACGGTGATGGTGAGGGCTGAATCGTCCCAGTCCATCTCGTTCTCCTTGCCGTTTTCCTGGTCCCTCATGGTGCGCTGGTGTGCAGCTCGGATGCGGAACACGCCCAGGATGATCATGAACACCAGGAAGCTGACGCACACCACGATGACGATGGTGGCAGCGCTCGGAACCACTACGAGGAGGTAAACCACATCAGGAAAAACACAGTGATTAGTTAGATGCAAAACAACACTTCACGATCAAATATGTGCAGACGCAGCTTCCGCCGCCGCTTTGGCTTTATGGCGTGCTCCCAACGATCTGTACACACACGTGCTTTTGGCTGTTCGAGGTGTTGAGGCTGTTTTTCTTTAAATAGCTTAGCCCGTCTCGCGCCAACCTGCTCCACTTTCCATATTAGCGGGAAGAGCCCTCTCTGGAGCAGTGGCGAGCTTAGCGAGGCAGTCAGCTTAGAAGAATACAGAAGCCGGAAAATAAAAGGTCGTGCTCAGTGTGCACTGCCTGTACAGATGTCACAAACAGCGCTCAAAAGTAATCCCTAACTTGGTCCATTAAAAAACAGACACATTACTAGTGTTTCATACATGCCCCACTTCTGCTTAGCAGGCTGTAATCCTCCTGCTTCATATCACAAATCTTTTTCTACAATTAAGCTGATTACTGGTTTGATTATGATATTTAGTGTTGCATTCAACAGATAAACACACAATATTGCAGCCAACACTGAGGAAAAAATAAACACTACTGCTTAATTTATTTTCCAGGCATCCTTAAATTAATTTTTGCAGGAAAGACTTTTATACTTTGATTTTGTGTCTTTTTCCACGTCGCTGAAACAGATGCATGTTTCATTTTTTCCTCTTTTATTTTGAAACTTTGGTGAATCGATGGCTGCAGATGACTCCTGATTTTCTATGCAACCTGCTGAAAAAGGATGAAGCATTCTCCATGTTTCAGTACCTGAGGCCTGATGAGCGTTGACCAAATTATGCCCAGACAGATCCACAGAGGCGTGATGGACAGGGTTGATGAAGTTGGGCTGCACCATGGCATTGTTGGAATGCTCCATGGGACTGGCTGTGTGGATTACATTAACCTAGAGAGAAATAAAGACCACGCTTGAAGTGAGGGCGCACAAGTATGTGGATAACACCAGGAAGGGCTGGTCACGGTTCAGTGTGCACGTGACAAACGCTCAGACGTACCTCGACCTTAAAGTCGTTGCTGATGTAGCGACCATTGAGTTCAGAGCAGACCAGTTTAAACTTCCTGTCAAAGAGAGCCTCGGTGTGCCAGTTCTTGTAACGGATAAGGTGCAGGACCTGCTCGTAGTTGGCCATGGTGTTCACACCTGGACCACAGAGAGGGGGGGGAAGTGTTAATGACACTTTAAGTCATTTTTCCTTCTTTAATCTCACAGAACTATCAGAGGTTTTGCAGAAACCAGGGCTATATGCTAGTTAAGGCTTCCTAGCCGAGCACGGTGGTCTGTACCGGTGATGACGAGCCCCATGTTGGATGAGCTCATCTCTAAGCTGCGCTGCTGCAGCTGGGACATGTCCACTTCAAGGCTCTCGTGCTCTCCGTCCAGCTCGTCTCCCACCACAGTCACTTCACACGTGTCCAGGTTGTGCATGATTTCCTCCGACACCACCGTCTCTTGGACTGAAAGAACAAAAGCACAAAAACGATTGAGGAGAAAGATTTGGAGCACTCTTGAAAATCTGAAACAGCACTCCGTCTCTATTTCTTCAATAACTGGCTGCCCTTTCCAAACAAATAGATACAGAGTAAGAGCAAGGGAACAAATATTTGTGATTTTATTTCTGTTCAATCAACAAAACAAAGTAATCTAAAGAACTGGAGTAAGAGAGAAAGATCCAGAACTGATGAGACATGATAAAACAAGTCAACTACTGACATTATAGAATATGCAACGTGCTCTTTAGAAATGCTGGTAAACAGAGAATCCTGGCTCCAACAGTTAGAGTCCAATAAAACAACTACAGCAGATTTAGCAATGTTATTATACTTGTATATCAGAGAAAGTGATTTTATTATTTAAATCATAATGTTGTAATAGTCTGCATCCTCAGCTTGCTTATGAAACAAATTAATATTCATGCATCTACTGCCTGTACCATTTGACTCTTCAAAGCTCCGTTTTAATGACTCTTAATTATC